GTTTTGTGGTTTTATTGGTGTTGGTGTTGGTGGTGAATCCATTATCCTTGTGAAAATTATGTGCTTAAATTTTCTTTGAATAATAATAATAATCAAAAAACAAATTTACTTTTATTATTCAGTGCCATAGTATATTTATTTATCTAGTTATTATTATTATTATAAATTATTTATAGTAATATCTTGTTGAATGGAAAAAAAGTTTGGATTCTTGTGGCACATCTAGCCAGTGTGTATTTCATTGGAAGATTTGGAAGTTGGTCTTCCAAATGCGCTCTCAATAACTAATACATTCCAGCCAATAAGGAGGATCATAATTTTTTTATTTATTTTTTTTCTACACTTGGTGTTGCACAAAGATTTGGTTTTTTTTTGTTGACGTGATTTTTTTTTTGGGAAGGAGGGACAGACGCGAATTGGGTTTTTTATTTCTTGGAAACAATTTATTTTTTGACAGAGTCCAAGATGACAAAACGCGAATCTCCTAAAGAAGTTATGTTAATAACTAACTAGGTACTATTTTTTATTTGTATTGATATATATATTTAGTTTATAAACATTTTAATTGAAATCAAAATGCGGAGCAGATCTTGCTGGGTATAAGAATCTCATCAAAATGATAACAAATGATTGGCATTTTTCTTTTCGTAATCAATAATATTAATAATATTATTATAATTACAAGATGTCAAGGCAGCATGACTGACTGTTACAGAAGAAACATTTCAAATATGCAATGTTTGATTATCAGAAATTTTAGAGACATTGAAGCACGCACGCTGCCTTGAACATTTTACAGCCATTCTCTCTCATCTTCCTCATGTATCTCGCATTTTACAATGCTTTACACACGATTAAATAGGATCCAACTTCTTCACGAGAAGTCTGTAGGCGTGCTGAAAAACTCATGGAAAAGGAGAAGAAGCAGGTTAGTTGGATGTGGAGATGTGATCGAAATGGTGGCTTCTTGCCAGGATCTTGCGCCTCTTGAAGGGTTCGTCCCAACAAGAGTGGGATACAAGTTATCTCTACAAGTGGTTATGGTTTTTCTTTACCAGGCTCTTGTAACTCTTTTAAGATTCGTTCTGACGAGGGGGGGGTACTAATCCCTGCAAGCATCTGAATTAGATGTGGTCCACAAACATTACTTCTTTGATAAAGGTCTACTAATCCTAGAGAAGGGATTGGTTATGTACCTTCCTTTATGCATAACAAAGAAGCGGACTGTTTGTGTGTTTTCCACATCTAGCCATTCTGATCTTAATTTTCATTCCACTAACTGGGAAATATTTTCTCACCTATTTTTCTTTCTGTTATAGTATGTTACTAAAAAAGTCAATATAATCTTCAGCAATGTA